ACTTCTTCCATAAGATTGTTAATTAAACATCTGCATATTCACTGTCCCTAATACAAAATGATTGGAACCAGATGTGTTTGGAATTTGTGAATTTTTGGTTTATTGGAGAATTTGCATATATATAATAAGTTATCTTGAGGATGGGATCCAAGTCTAAACATGAAATTTATTTATAGATCATATATACTTCATATTCATAGCTTGAAGATAATTTTACATTATATTTTTAATAATGTCATGTTTAACATGTGTACTGAGTTGTTTTCCTGTTGTGGGAAATTGAAAATGTAGATAAGAACCAAAATAAAATACATATTGTGAATGTTATCTAATGAGATGGGGAATTAGGGATGGAGGAGGGCGAAAGGAAGGAAGGCAAAAAAAATTAATGAGAAAAGAAAGAAACAAACCTTTCATAAATAAGGAGGGGAAGAGACTTGAAGGAAAGGTAGGGGAATGGAGAAAAAAGATTCATATCATGTATGCTACAAATTTCCCGTGGTTAACATGATCATAATTTACACCTAAAATGTGCCAATAATCTTAATTAAAAAACATTTTGTGTTTGAAAACAAAATTTCTTGCTGTGGAATTTTCTACTTTTGGCACTGTATCAGTAGTAAAAAGTTTTGGACTTTGAAGCATTTCAGACTTCAGATTTCATATTAGGAATGCTCAGCCCATATTTGGATAGTGATTTGATAAATATCAATAGACTGTAAGCTTTGTGGTGAGAGTATGAGAGCAGGCTCTTTGTCTCTACTGGTGTCATGGTTTATGTCAGTGACCATTCAAGCCTCATGCAATCATGGATGTGGCCAAATCTAGCATTTCTGAATGGTTCATTGTCTAACACTTAGATTGGTGGTATGAGTGCTACATCTACACAGGGGTGGAGCGAACATACAGTGTACCTGTGGGAAGAAGGCCTGCCTTTCTCTTTTGCTGTTCATGCTTGCTGTTTGTATCCACCACAAACTGCTGCCTCTCAGCCATGTCATTTTGCCTTGGAGCCAACTGAGGATGGACTGAAACCTCCAATCTGTAAGAAATAAACCCTTCATTCTTTCATGTTGGGCATCAGGTATTTTGTCTCAACAACCAGTGAAAAGTAACTAAAACAACAGGTAATCATTGTTTCTCAGTACTCACCTCAATGTCTGACACAAAAATGGTGCACTTTTGTTGACAGAAAGAAAACAAGCAGTAGCACACAATTTTAGATTTGTATCACACAGAATTTCACTACTTATAAGGCTCTATAGTGAAATGAGGTCTCATCAGATTTCCTTAGTGTAGGCACTAAGCTTGTCATTTCTTTTGCTTTATTATAGCAAATAGTGTTCCTCTGTCCAGTTTTCATTCTCCCTCTGGTCTTAAAAATCACTTGTAAGCAGTTATACAATCTCATGCTGGGCATGGAACTCAAGACCTTCTAACTGCTAGGCAAGTCTCTACCTCAAGATACATTCCAGCCCTCCCTTTCTTATCCTGGAATTTAAGCTATGGGAATGTACTATGGTGGATGTTCAGTCCAAATGACTGACCAGGGAACTGTAGTTTTAGGTCCAAGCTGATTGAAGATATTTTCAAGGCTCAGACTCTTGCATGTGGAATATGAATCAAGAGGTCCAAGGCTAAGAATCTTGCTATTATTTGATGGAAGTTTTTTTGTCCCCAAGCAATGTACTGTAGCAGAATGATCCCTTGCCTCAGGTGGCAGGAGCTGACTGTCAAATACCAGGAACAGGGTCTGCATGCTGACTCTACAATTGCAGAAATGACCTTAAACAGATCCAGTCACTTTTCCATGCTTAATTTTCTCACTTAAAAGCAATCACTTATTTTAGCAGCTGTACAGAGACTGGAGGTGAGAAACAGCATTTCCATGGTGTTCTTGAGTCAGAGGTGGCCAGGAGAAACTGTTTGCAGCTGATTCTTCAGCCATGCATCCCTGGCCATCAAGGAAGAAGAACAAGGCTGTTGTGTTTCCCTAAGAAAAACAAGAGGACAATGGCTTGTCCTGCAGTGGGAGGGAGCAGAGGCCTAAATCAGGTCACCACGCAATGGGGCTTTGAAAGTTTCACCATTGAATCCTCTCCCCATCCTCTAATTTTTCTTTTTCTGTTTGCCCCTTAATCATTGTTTTGATAATTATGATAATATTCACACATTTCAAAAAGTCCAACAAACAAGGAGAAAAAATTAGAAATATTTGCACTTTTTCTGTGTAGAAAGGTAACTATTGTTTGTACATTTTTAGCGTCCCTTTTCCTATTAATGATTTATTGTAGACATGGTTCCAGGGTGACTGATTTAGGTTGACATCATTGTAACAGGAATTACTGAAATAGGAGTTAGGATTCTACTAGGCCTTAAGGCCAGCAGCCCCAAAACAGAATCTTGAAGTCCAAAATGGAGCCTGCTGAGTTGTGATCCTCCAGGGACCTTACCGAAACATCTGTTGACTGTCCTTCAGCTGTTCCAGACCTTTCCAGAGCATAATCTGGCAGGCCATTGGCTGGAGGGTACATGGCCTGTGCATGGGCACTGTGTGAACACTGGTTGGCCTGCTTCGGTGACTCAAGGAAGATGTTCATGCGTGAGGTCCCAAGATTAGAGAATGTACATGTTCAAGACATCAGCAACAAAGGTAGGCAGCGTGGAGCACAGCAGAGAACCACTGTGTTTTTTTATTGTATAATTCTTACCCAGGTTGTTATCTCATATTTACATTCTTGTGTAGAGTTCTATCCAGTGCATACAAGTTCACCTGTGCTAAGTCATGGTCACATAACTATATCCCACTGTGTGCCTATGCAGACAACCAGGGTCAGGTCCTCAGTTGTCTTTAGATATCCCTGAAATGTGAAGCATTCTGAGTGATTCCTCACAACACTGCATAGATTGAACCCTGAAAAGTAGGTAGTCTTCCATAGGGTAGCTCTTTTCTAAACCCATTAAAACTTCTAGACAAAGACTGCCTCGTGGGTATCCTACTCAGAACCCCCTCCTTGCTGGAGGGAACTTTACTCCCTTGCCTTTATAGCTATCAGAGTTGAGGAGGCTAAGGGGTAAATTGCTTGTGAGGTCCCCAGAGACAGCAGGAAGGCAGACATCGGCCCATCAGCAGCAGCAGGCAGCAAGCAGAGAGAACAATTGTATCTTTATCATCCAGGCTCTGTATATGTTGTTGTGTTTACATTCTTTCATGCTGGCTTCCCAGTAGTGCCACAGGCTGATGACCAAACCTCTACCACAAGGATCTCTGAGGGACAATTACAATCCAAACTATCACAGACACAAACAAAAAGCAATTTTCATGTGTGCATCTCTCATGGGCCAACAGTGGTGTCTAACTCACATTGCCTGCACTTCCTTCCCCTCAGTGGGACATTGCCGTTCTTAACAGCAGAGGGAAAAGAATGTTTACTAGTTATTCAGTGTCAGCTGTGAAAAATAGAAGTCTAAAAAAATAGTACATGGGAAACAGTGTTGCAATTCAGGTGCACTTCCTCAAGGCAGCCCCATAAGGCAGATGCAGTGAAGTTTGTTGCAGGGGATTCCCACAGAGTTATTTTCAGAGACAGCTCCCTGCCTAGGCGGACACCTGAGTCACACATGCATCTGACTGTTAGTTAACAAAGACATTCCTGGGTGAGGGGTGTTGGAGGAGGAGGTGAAGAGCTTCAGTTGTTCTCTAAATCTAGGAACATTCTGCAGTATCACCTTCAGCTGGTTTGCCTACTCTCCTACAGCTATTTCCTGACTTACCTCAGGAAGTCTTAATCTTAGCTTTCTGGTTTTGTTTTATTTTGTTTCACAGCCCTGACTTTTAAGAATTGTATTGGGTAGTGGCATGTGTCACTTGCATTTGTGTCTGACAAATATTCTCTCCTTGCCCAAACCCTAGTCAGGATCCTGACAGGGTCTGAGGAGTCTTCACAAAGAGGAGATGGGGACCTCTACTCATGCTGGGCCTTGTGTAGAGTTTCCTGTCTTGTCATGGAGGAGAATTGCTATGTACTCTGTGACAGGCTCAGGTATCTGCATTATCCAATCTTAGGAAGTGTCCTGCTAATTCAGCTGGCCATAAGCCTCCATCCCTGATTTCTGATCACCCTTAACATCTGATTGGGTCCTCATCCTCCACCATCTCGCAGCTCATGCCTGTTGAGCCTGGCCTGCCCTCTGCAAGCATCCTGTTAGCCTGGGTCAGGAAGCAGCTCCCTTCCATCTGCTGCTCACTCTTAGTGTTGCCAACGCCCTGACCTGACCCTGTTCTGCAGCTGTGCATCACTAATTTTCCAAGGTGCATGTGGAGTTCTTTCTCCTCCACTCTTAAACCCCTCACAGTGGCTCCTGCCTCTCTTACGATGGTCCCCATATTGTCAGAAAGTTCTTGAAAACACAAACAGGGCCCAAAGAGCGACCCAGAGGACTGTGGCAACTTCCTAAATGAACCAAGACAAGAAAAGCTCTGGGAGCAGCTGCACCACTGCTTTGGTGGTTGGTTGTTCTGTCCCCATCCCAGGAAAATTGTTGTTGAGATCAGGAGAATGTCAGGTACAGAGTTAAGGCTGCATACGTTTAGTGCATACAAAAATAGCAGGTGCTCTCTGTCACACAGTGTACATGTAAAGGTTAAGCAGCCGTTAAATATCTAGACATCTCTTTAAAGTTGGTCCTGGCACTTAAAGCTTGATCTACATCTACTGGGATTTATTAAATAAGCATTTTGCTACTACATGAATGAGATACAATTGTATTGGGTAATAAGTCTATATATATATATGGTCATTAACATAGTTTCCTATATTTACGAGATTTCTATAGACGTCCTTTAATCCTCAAATTCTGTATTTTATTAAAAAATCTAAACTTTGCCTTATGAGTAAAATCTAAGTAAATACATGTTAAAGTTTCTACATAGTGTTGCTATTAATTATTGCTAACCTCATAGTATATTAAATACATTTGTTTTCCCAAGAGTGTAGGGTGTTTTTAAGATGTAGAGTGCGATAAAGATATCTCCTCATATTTACGACCTGCAAACTGCACTTGTAAGTGAGATCTGTGGTGCCTAGGAGAGATGGCAATCAGAAGGAGGTGACTAGGTTGATGGATTTGTCCCACTCTATTTGAGTGCACATGTGGGTGTTGGGTCTGAGAGATGTTGTGTGCTTGAACAAAAGGCCCCTAAACTGGTTTTTGCACACTAGAAGGGCTTGGCTGATTGGCTGGCTTTGTCTTCTGCCCAAAGTATTAACCAGAATCCCTCTCACTCAGCCTGGCTGCGTCAGGAACTCTCTCTAGCAGAGCATTGTAGTTCACAGAATGGCCAGGAGGTGGAGACGGAGCAGAGAGTCAACTTTGACAAGTTTCGTAGGAAGGCAGCTAGGAAAGTGAAGCTTTGGTAACAAGGAATAAGAAAGGAAAATGTTGAATTCAATGAATGTTCATAAATGAAATTAACATCCACCTCTTATCCTCTTTTCTGGCTGCTTCTCCTCTCCTCCCCCAAGATAAATACTATCCAGAGAATAATTTGTCCTGTTTTTATCAGTTATACATATGCATGTGCATTTATATCCCTGTATGTGCTCTTACAGTTTGTGTTTTCTGAGGGTGTGTGTGACTTTTTCACTTATCTTTATGTTTGTGAGTTTTACACATTGATCCATCCACAAGCCATTACATCTATGACCTGTTTCATGTAGTTACAGATGTATTTGTTCTCACGACTCTGAGTCTCACCTTGATTTGTCCCTTCTCCTGGCCAGTCTCTTCTACTCACAGGTTGATGTATTTTTGGGTAATTGCTAGTTTGAGGGCAATTACAGTTCTGTGGCTATGAAACTCCTAACATCTCTTTAAGTGGATCTATCTATCTATCTATCTATCTATCTATCTATCTATATAGATAGATATATTCATAACCTCAGAGTGATCTGTTTTGCTTATTTGAGACTTGTTTTTTTTTTTTTTTTTGAGAGGCAAGCCTTAAACTCATAAGGTCAAATGGTATTCCTGCCTAAGCTTTCTGAGCAGCTGGCTCTCCAGGCATGTAGTAGCATGCCAAGTTAGCTTTGTTCTTAACCTGTTTCTTTAGTAGTCTTTAGGCACTTGTGCCAGGCACTTTGCTAAATAATACAAGTGATGTTAAAAATCCCTGACAGTGTTGGGCACATCGCTCAGTGGTAGAGCTCTTGTCTAGCATGTGCAGGGCGCTAGACTTAGTAACCCATGACATCTGGTCCTCACAACCTAGAGGGAAGATAGGTGTGCAGGTGTGTAACTGACCACAGTGATCGTGATTCAGCATAGGCATTGATCACCATGGCCTGTGTGGTGACCCAAAAGATCTCAGGTTTTCCAAATCTAACTGCAAACCGGGTAGAGGGCTGTCAAAGTGTGAAAGCTGACAGAGAGATGAGCAAAGAGCCGAGCTATGATGCCTGACCAGGCACTGACTGGGAAAACAAGCTTTCACTTCACACCAAGGACAGAGGGGGACAGTCTGCCTCCCCCACTGAAGGGTCTTTGCTACTTTCCCACTGTCACCTGGAGTACTTGGTGCAGTGCCTCACACACAGTGAATTGTTATATTAGCTTCCCAGGGAAAGCTTAGAGTACCACACACCAAATGATTTAAAACAGCAGAAATGTGTTCTTTAAAGGCCTGGGAACTCAAAATCAGAAATCAAGGTGTTAACATGGTCATTCTCCCTTTGAGGTCACAAAGGGAGTCTTGTTCTTCAGCTCTTCTGGTGACTGCTGGTCTCCTTGGCACCTCTTGACATGTACCTGCCCCACATCTTTCTCTGCCTGTCAACACAGGGCACTTTACCCTTGGCCTTTGACTCTGCTCGTATTAAGTGTGAGTTTTAGTACATCTATTTTTACTAATGCAAGATTTTAGCTTTGAGTTTTCTTATGAAAATTTGAAACTTAATATCTAAGTTTTAATGAAGAGGTTGTAATTAAGAGACAGAGACACTTTTAATGTTATGCCGTCCCCCTGGCATATATAAACAGCATCATGTTTAGTTGTGTGTGACTAATTTATGAAAAAAAGTCAAGGATATATTTGCTTGGCCTGGGTGTGATGCTAGCAAAAGCCCACAAGGTAGGCAACGCACTCAGATGCCTTTTTTAGGGCAGGCCAAAAGATGCTGGTCAGTAAAACATTGCTTCCTTGTGCTGATGGCCAGAAAATTCAAGAGGAACCCCAACTGAGAATCACTGATATAGATTGTGAATTCAGGTAACACCCAATTCTTTAGTGTTAACTAATAGTATTAGCTATTTTTGTTGTAGGGGTAGGTTTGTATTTGGTGCTTTACCTTTAAAAAACTTTTATGTTTTTCATAGACATGAAGTTTAAAAACCAAAAAATGACTAAGAGGAAAAAAAGCACAAAACTGAAAATACATGGCAGAGATCACCCCAGGAGGCCTGAAGAGAGTCATTGGAGTGACTGCACACAGTGGGACAGCACTGTGCACTCTGTGTGGTGAAACTGCTGGGTACTGTACATCAAGTGTCAGATGACGCTTTGACACCAACCACAAAAGTGTTGCTAAACTTGGTGAAACTGAAAGGTGAGAGTTTCTAGAAGGAAAACTGGAACTATTCCCAGTCTCTTAGTTCTTGTAATTATCATTCTAAAACAAATATTCCTGTAGATGCCTGATTTTAAATTTTATTGTGCATAGCAAAATATGGCTCAGTGTATTGATTTACTTAGGTACAATGGTGTCCCATGGCTGAGCAGCTGACGTGTCCGGGGAGATCTGCAGCTGCTTGGATGAAATAAGGCTGTTTAGGATGAAAAATGGCAGAAATATCCACAGGTCACTGATGTGGCCTCACATAAAAGTCTCACGGTTTTCATAGATTTTATGCTACACTTCTGTGTACTAAACAAAAAACTACAAAGTTTAGAAAAACAGGTGAAAAAATGTATCGTAATATCAACACATTTGATCCAACACTGCAGGTTTTTGAAAGAGATCTTGAAAGTAGGCAGCTGAATTATTTTCTAATTCTAAGTATGCATTTAGAAAATTCTACAACATTTGCTGACAATCCCACAAGCCATCAGGAAACCTACAAAGAATTTGCTACCATTGTAGTAGCTTCAAAGGAGAATCTTAGTACCAGACTTTCACAGTTCTGTGACATGGAGACAACACTGGAGTTTTTTGTTTGTTTGTTTGCTTTTGTTTTTTGAAACTGTGTCTTGCTGTGCAGCTCAGGCTGACCTTGTGCTCACTTTGTAGCCCAGGCTAGTTTTGAATTTGCAGAGATCCTCTTGCCTCACCTCCTCAGTGCAGGGATTATAGGCATGCGCCAACACAGCCAGCTCACCCTGTGTTTTCTTTCTTCTCCAGATAAAGCCAAATTTGAAGAACTTGATTGTTCATCGTAACACTGGTTAGATTTGGAAATATGGAAATACAATTATTGGAATTTCAAGAAAAACCTGTTGGACAAATAATTTCTATGACAAATGAGCAACACTTGAGAAGACAGAGTGTGAAAGAATGACAAAGGACAGCACAGTTGGCAGTTCTGAAAACGAAATCCTGAGGAAAAAACTCAGCTTCTCCCGAGAATGGGCCATAATGGGCCTAGGAGGAGCCCACCAAGAAAACAACCAGCCAGGCTGTCTGGCAAGCTTTAAAAGCCATGCGAGGTCCAGGAAGAGAAAAGTCAGCTCCTCCTGTGAGACCACAAGCACATGGGCTGAGAATCAGCATCGCTCTCTCCCATAAGCAACTGGCTGGTTCTGCGGACATGTTGAGCTGATAGCAACTGAGGTCCAAAAAGCACCTGAATGCTTGTATTGCTTGCTTGACTTTGCAGGTCTGGGACCAAAGGTCTGAGCATCTATTGGGAGGATAACATAATGAAATATAGCAAATATGGGAGATTTTCTTCTATCTTATCTTTGAAATCCAATATTTTTCTCATTGTTTTGTTTCATTCTGATTGTTTTGCTTTTTTCAGTGTTCCAGTTTGATGGGTTTTATTGTTTTCTTTTGGTTTGATTTTGCTATATCTTGTGGAATGGACAGCAATTGTGAAGATAATGAGATGAACTGTGGTAGCCATTATTGTTTTCCTAATATCTTGCTTTGAAGTTCTGTGCCAATTTCACTGCTTTGTTTTTTGCTTTGTTTTGATTGAGTTTATTCTGTTTTGTTTGGTTTGTTTGATTTTTACTATCTTTAAAGTGAAAAACAAAATCCTTGAAGTGTGGAACTTTCTGCCAAATAATTTAAAATCGGCCATGCATGGTGGTGCATGCCTGTAATTCCAGGAATCAGGAAGTTGAGGCAGAAGGACTGGTGCAAGTTTGAGACCAGCCTGGGCTGTAAAGTGAGCTGGGGAGCAGTCTAAACTAAACTACATAGTGAGATCCTGTCTCAAAAAGAGCAAAAAAAAATTAAGTCAATGAAAGCACTGGTGAATTCTTGTGTTACTCTGGATCATCTTATGCTTGTGGGCCACTGTTTTCAGCTTATTAAATCTGATACATGAAACAGATTAACAGATGACTTGAGAATTGCATGTGTTCCTCTGAAACTAATGCAGAATGAGCCAACCTTTGACAAATTATCAGTATGCATACACCAGCAAAGATATCATTAATTTTGTGAAAGCATACCAAATGTTAACTGTCACTTTTAAGTAAAAACTTGTTTGTGTCATAGAAAACTTTGTGATTGTATTTTTCTTTAAAGGCAAAATGTGTCAATGGATGAGTTCTTTTTCCTAACTAAAACCTCAGGTCAGTACTCAGGTCTAATTGCAGTGTTGGCACTATAATAAATGAGTGAGCTTTTGGTTGCATTTTGGGCCCTTGGTCTCTAAAAGATTTCCTATCACTGATCCAGGAGAACTGAGGGGTGAGGATTACATCCCCAGCTCTCCCATCTAGCCTCTGGCACTCACTGGGGCCCCAGGCATGAACAGGGCATTTGAACACAGTCTAGTTCTTCCAGCTCACCCAAGGCAGATCCCAGACTGAACATCAGTTCCCTGGGAACTGTGAAAGTCAGCAACTAAGTTCAGGACTCAGCCAAACATTGCTCCACTGGTCACGTAGGAGCAAGAGCTGATTCATCTAGCTCTTTCCCCTAAAACACAGAAAGTGGAGCATCCACACACTCACCCTGCAAAGGCCAGCTTTGTGGGGCATCTGGGCTTCATTGGGTAGTGGGGAGCTGCAAGGCGTGGGTCACTAGGTTACTGGTTTCCATGGTGTAGAAGGGGACAGTCTCTAAAGAGTTCTCATCACTGCAGAACTGACCCTAACCTGGGTGCAGGTTGGGTCCAGTCCCTCTCTGTTCATACTGCCCCATGTACCACACAAACCCATCAGGTGAAGTGTAGTCTGAGGCTTCCCAGATGCATGATCAGTGCCAGCAACTTGATTAAAGTCTGTGCCCAGTCCCTGGTACAGAGGATCAAAGTGAGAAACTAAAACCTCATGACCTGTTTGTGTGGTTGTAAAATGGACTCAGTGCTGTAGGGAACAGCATAGCTGTCCTCTCCAAATTGTATAGAATTATCCTGTGATTCAACAATTCTACATCTACTTATAGACCTTAATAGAAATCAGGAGCTCAAGCAGATATTTGCATTCCCATGTTCACAATAGGATTATTCCCATGAAACAAAATATGGAAATAATCCCCAAAGGATGGATGAACAGGTACTATATATGTATCCTACAATATTGTGTTAAGTGAAATAAAACAGAAAGAAAAGGAAAATATTATCTGATTACATGTATGTGATTATCCAGCAGAGTCCAATTCATAAGACAGATAGTAGAATGGTGTTTCCAGGGGTTTAAAGACGGGAAATGAAGTTATTGCTGGGAGGGTTCACAGTTGCAGTTTGGAAATAAAGTTCTGGAGCAGGATGGTGCTCATGACTGCACAAGGTAAATGCTCTTAATGACACTGAACTGGTCACTGGCTAAGGTAATGGATTTTGTATCGTGCATATTTTAACATATTTTAGATGGTAGATAAGAGGTGATAAAGGGGCCAGAAGGGATGGGTGGATTCAGGGACAATTCTGTAATTCTCTGTTCATTTTTTGATGAGTAATGCTCTCCCAGGTCCTGATCATAACATACATCCAATATATCACTCAAAGGACAGAATTTACAGATGAAGCCTCCTGTTTCCAGACTGCACATTTGATTCTTTACCTACACTCAGTAACAAGTCCCTGATCCCTTCATTCTGAGCAGAAGAGAGAGGAGAAGAAGCGTTTGGGAAAGTTCTCCATGACCAGTACTGTCCTCAGGGGGCTCCCACTCTGCATGTCTGTGGTGGGGGTAGGGAGACTCCTCTTCTGTGCTTCTTTCTTTATTAAGGCAAGATTCAAGTCTACAATTCAGCATCTGTCCTGGAGCACCCAGTTCAGTGGCATTTCATGACTCAGGCCTATGAGACCCTCATCATGCCTGGCAAAGAATACCTCCACCATCCCCAGTGGTAACCCAGGTTCCTTAAACTGTCATTCTCCATTCCCCATGCTCAGCCATGGACCACTATTGTGCTTTCTAAGGATTTGTGTGTTCTGGGTATTTATATAAAAGCAAACATAAAAAATAAGTAAATATTTACATTTTAGGATAATCTAATTCCATTAGTCACAAAAATTCTAAATCATGAAACAATACATTTAACAGTATGTTTGTAAACATTTCATTTAAAGGGGTAAAAAAATTGAAAACAGTTCAAACATCTGACCTCAGAGTAAGGGTTAATTATGGTCAATTCTACAAAAGCTGCATAGGTTGAAGCATATATATGAAAATAAAAACAATTGTCCTGGTCAAGCTTTCCCATTAGTGGGACACAGAATCCAAGACCCACAACTAAGAAGAGGAGAAGTTTAATCTGGCTTATGGTTTCAGGGGATTCAGTCCTGGGTGGTTCCAAGGCAGGGACACTACAGCAGGAGGGTGTGCTGGAGCAAAGATGCTCAGTTCATGGTGGCCAGGAAGCAGAGTGGAGGGACAGTGCCAGGAAGGAAGGTACCAGAGACCAGATGTAGTACCTAGGGTCACTCCTCCATGACTCGTACAGATGAGCCCAGAAGTACACGTTACCAGTCACTTGGACAGCTCTCAAGCCCATCAAGTTGACAATGAAGATTAATCATCACATAGCAAAAGATTTGTGATGCTAAGATTATAGGTGATTTATATATGTGCGTATATACAGTATTTTGGGGGTTTTCCACCTTTAAAATTCTATCCAAAGTCAAAAAAGTGCTGAATTTTATGTTGAATAGAATTCTAGAATTAATAAATTCTTTTAGAAATAATAAAAAAAACCATTCCTTAGGTTAGTTTTATAAAATCCAGTCAAAAAGACTGAAAAATATACAAACAAAATACAGGAAGATCCAGAAATCTTAACTCTGCTTTGAACAACTACTTTGAAAGATAGATACACAATTTCTGAGCTGAACATGAAGAATTGTAAGATGCAACCTCACACCTAAGTACCTTCCCTGGGGAAATGAGTGCTATCTCCATCCAAACACAAGAATGACTGCAGCAACTTCATTTTTAAGGTCAAAGCTGGAAACACCACACAGGGCCTCAGCTGATGGACACATGAGGATTTGTGGTTCATCTACACAGTGTGATGTGATGGCTCAGCCACTGACAAGGATAAGCACACAGGAAACCTAACATGGTTATGAGGATTGAAAACCCTACCAGCTCCCCCCAAAACAAAAACAAAAACAAAATCAAATAACACCCCCCCCCCCGCAATCCTGGGTGGTTACAGACCTGGCACCTCTAAAAAAAAAAAACTGGTTCCCAGAGACAAAAAGTAGATGCATTGCTTAGGATGGAAGGAAGCAATTACACTGAGCCACAAAGAAAATGTGAAAATGATGTATGCATCTCCACTGGGGTGAGGGGTTTCAAGGGGCTCATGAAGGTCAAGATTCTTAGGGGTTTTTTTTGTTTGTTTGTTTTTTTAGCTTTAGTTTTGTTTTGTTTTGTTTTGGGTACCAGGAACCAAACACAGGATCTTGTACTTGCCAGGGAGCCCTTTGCCACTGAGCTATATCCTTGTTCCATGTCAAGATTCATTGAATTTTGTAGTTTAAACCAGTAAGTTAATTGTATGTCAATTATAGTGAAATAAAATTGCTTTTAAAAAACACTTCTCAGCCTCCCCATCCCGGCTGTGCTTGGAGAACTGTGGAGCTTCCAACAAGTAGGCGGGCGCATGCTATCCCCTGAGCCCAGCCTATTTGGGACTCCTGCACCTCACCATTGGTGTGCAGAGGAGGAACTGGGCAGATCTGGGGTGCCTGCATCCGCCTCCCCATGTGTCTGGAGGACTGTGGATATCTCAGCAAGCAGGGGAGCATCACAGGTTCCAGAGGCCCCGCGGCCTGTGGTAAGCGCACTCTGCCCAAAGCCCAGTCTGTTCAGGACCCTCCAGGCTTCCGGGTGCAGTGAAGTAGATAAGTGGGTTTGAGGCATCTACATCCGCCTCCCCATCCTGGCAGCACTCAGAAAACTGTGGAGCTTCCAACAAATAGGCGGGCGCATGCTATCCCTGGAGCCCAGCCTATTTGGGACTCCTGCACCTCACCATCGGTGTGCACAGGAGTGGCTGGGCGGATCTGGGGCGCCTGCATCTGCCTCCCCATGTGTCTGGAGGAGTGTGGATATCTCAGCAAGCAGGGGAGCATCACAGGTTCCAGAGGCCCCGCGACCTGTGGTGAGTGCTAAGCGCACTCTGCCCAAAGCCCAGAATGTTGGGGACCCTCCAGGCTTCTGGGTGCAGTGAAGTAGATAAGTGGGTTTGAGGCATCTACATCCGCCTCCCCATCCATGTTGCGCTTGGAGAACTGTGGAGCTTCCAACAAGCAGGTGGGCGCACAGTGTCCCTGAAGCCCAACTTATCTGGAACTATGGAGTTCTAAACAGGCAGAAGAGGACCATTGGTTCTACAGGCCGAGTGACTTAGGGTAATGGGGTGCCAGAGTCTCAGGAGCTGCGAACATAGAAGGGGATTTCCAACAGACCTTGAGTAAGCTTTCAAATAACACATGAAACACAGAAATATAGGAAAATGAAAAAACAAAAGACCAAATTACAACCTCAAACCTGCAGCCCATCTCAAGAAATCCTAGGAGCAATGTATATAGAAGAAAATGTATGCCATTCACCTCAAATATCGGACACAATAGCTACTGAAATTAACAAATAACTCCAGGAAGCTTTAAAGAAATTCAAACTCGAAATAATCTTCCAGGTAAAATGATAAAAGAAATGATAAAAGAAATGAAAGAGATTCTGAATATATCTAAAGAAAACACAGTTAAAAAATTGGAGGAACTAAACAAAAAGATAGAGTCCCTAGATGAGCAATATAAGAAACAAAGAGAATACATAATGCAGATGCACAGAGATATACAGGAAATAAAAAACTCCACTGAAAGTTGTAAACCGCCTCAATGAAAGTGAAGATAGAATTTCAGACCTTGAAGACAGGATTGCAGCTAGTGAATAGGAAAGGAAAGATCTTTTAAAAATAACAAGGAATCAGGAAACAACAATTCAACAACTGCAAGATGATGCAAAGAAAAATAACATAAAAATGATAGGGATTAATGAAAAAGAAGGAGACAACATAAAGGATGTCAAGAGGATATTTAGA